ACTAGCCCACAGAGCAAGCAAACACATAGAGCGCAAGTACCATCTGATTCGAGAGATTGTTGGTAGAGGAGACGTTGATGTTGCCATAATTTCATCTGAGAACAACCTAGCTAATCCTTTCACGAAGAGTTTGCCGGAGAAGGTCTTCGTCAAACACGTGACATGAATGGGAGTCAAGTGCATGGTGATAGGATCGACATATGCCTTTTAGAATAACGGATTGATAGGACTATACTTGTAAAAGCGAAAGCTTTAAATATAAGTGGAAGATTATTAGTGTTATATACTGAAAGCTTGGTTTTGGATGATATTACACTTTTACCCTTTATGAATGAGAAACATGTTAGATTAAACAAGTTCTATGTTCTGTTGTTTTGCATTAGATAGTGGGGGACGTCATCGGGCGGACCGAAGATCATACTATCAGTTACTCGCGAAACAAGAATAATGGTTCACAACCTAGATGGACATGAACACCCCATTGTGAACGGTTGTAGTGTCAACTGTACAGTTTGTCTTGACTGATTAGTTGCACTAGTACATTAATGTATTGAACAGGATCCCAGAGAGAAGCAGTTCGTTTTTTATACTGATCGTCGTAAATGAATTATGCCTCGGTTAGTTACTGTGTACTCTTAACCCGTAAGATATTAAACATGCATATATGTGTAGTATTCATTACTTTGATTCACATGGGTGAGGCTTAGTGAACTGGGCCAATAGACCCTCTGTCTTCGGTAATATTGCTACAAGTAGGATGTGCTGTTAGGATATTTACGGTCACCATGTGCGTTAGTTTGATGATCTCCTCGGAGTGAGTTCATTAAGGAATGTTATGCTAAACCCTGCAGGTGGATTAAATTCTGGCATAATATGAATATGATGAACGAGCGCTAGCTTTGGTAAAATAATAATAAATTAATTAGTTGTTGATTGTTAGTAATCGAATTAATTAATGGACATTATATCTTAAACATGGAGAGATAAATTGAGTAATTATTATTGGAGTCTCAGTTGTAATATGGGCTACAAAAAGGGAGTACAATAATATTATGTTGGTGGACCATTTAATATTGTTTAATTAATTAAAATAAATGGACTGACCCACAAGTATTTAATTAATTAAGGAGCCCTTCTCCTAATCTCCTAAGGGTACATACTGTAGCTCTATGTATATATATTAAGCTCATGGAAAGAGAGAAGAACTCTCATAATCTCTCATCTACACGTACGCCATCTCTCTCTCTCTCTCTCTCTCTCTCTCTCTCTCTCTCTCTCTCTCTCTCTTTCTCTCAGTTCTCATTCGAGTTTTGTCTTCTTCTTGTTGCTCCACTGGTACAAGTTGAAGAAGGATGTATTGAGATATACAGTAGAAGATCTGTAGGTAAACCGAGACAAAATATATTTTATCGTATAGAACTAACCGGAGGTCCAATCAAGGGGTGCAGCATACCTAGACGACCGTCTCGACGAGATCTTTCCATTGCTGTCGAGATCGCCGCCGTCCGACGCCGCACGCCCCGTCGGAGTGTCCAGACTGCAAGTTTCATTTTCATATATTTTCCACCCGTTTGATTCAGTTTTTGATTCGATCTTGTTCGTGCAACCCTAAGATGTGATTTGAAGTCAACTATTCATTGGTGTGCTGTGTAAGGCCATCCAGAAGATCAGGTAGATCGCCATAAGTTCTCTATGCAAACCTTTAGATCCGTTGTGCATAGGTTTACATTTTGCTATTGAATTCGTGATTTGTACATAACGAGATCCTCATAGATCCCAACAGGCTATCCACAAGAGAGAGCATCGCCATACAAAAGGGAGATTGAAAACGCATAAGAGAAGTCGACGACCGCCTCATAGACCTTCTCCTCTGCGGTGGGGCAACATGAGTACACACGAGATTTCGAACTTGATTTGAGGATTTTTTTTGGTTGTAGAGAGAGAATTTTTTTCCTGGCTATTGAAGACTTTAAATTGGAAATCAATCCGTCAGATTTTCATGACAAAAAAATATAAGTGATGAATGTTGAAAAAAAAGAGAGGAATTGAGGATGCTATCAGATTTAGTTTCCTCGTAATCATCACGAGTTGTCTGTTTATAAATTTTTCAATTCATACTCAATTTATAGTTAAAATTTGACTCAATTTGAACTTAACACCACCATCCTCAGTATTATCAATATAATTAAACACAATCAAACAATTATTCTTATACATCATATCAATTTCAATTCACTATTTATTTATTTTTTTAAATCTAAAAACAATGCATTAACTCATAAAAAGAACAACACCGAGTTCAACTGAACATACATACCATCTCGTGTAAGAGAGGTAACCTACAGGGGAATACAAACTATCCCCCCTCCAAAGCCATCTTGGCTAACACACAACTAGCATCTAACAAGGTCTTACCCCTAAACTTACAAACAAGAAAATCAGATTTCAGGACCATAATATCCTAAAAGAGTAACATACAAGATGCATTAAACATGTTACAACTCCCACCCCTATTCAATGTTGAAGCCAGATTCTCAAGTGTCAAGGAGCATATCACTTCTATCCATCCCTTCTCCACTGCAAAGTTTAAAACCCACCTGACAGCCTTAAGATTGGTTTCCATCTCAGATGCAGCCTAGTTCCAGAACTTTGAATTTTCGAAAACTATTGCCTCTTGTTGCAATGCCAGTAGACCTATACCCACTTTGCCTTCAGAAGAAGTTAAGGCACTGACTTGTAAATCTGCATGCCTTACCTTCCTGAAAAAGTCTTCTTCATGGGCATCAACAGGGTTGTGATTTGTTGCTTGAGTGACAGACTTCATTTCTTGGTTGATGTCAGATAGCATTTCATTCAAATCCCTCTGAGCTCCTGCTGCAACCTCATTTTTCACAGATGGATTCCCTCTGAATATTTTATTATTTTTGGCCTTCCAAATCCTCCACAATATGCACACAAATAAGGTCCTCATCTCTTCCATATTTGAACCTGAAGTACTGTTGCAAAGTTTTTCCCACTAGTCTCTAAGATTGAAGTGAGCTTCCTGAAAATCTCTCCATGTAAGTCCCAGTAGTTTCCATCTTACAGTCTTCAAACAAGTAGCAAAAAGGTGGTTGAGATCCCCTTCTGCTTCTCCACATAAAATAAAAGTGTTGTCCACCCTCTTGCCTTTGCTTTTTAGTTTCTCTGTTGTACTCAGAAAGCCATTAAGAACTCTCCACATAAATGTTTTGAGCTTTGGTAATATCCTCATCTGCCAAGT